AGAACTAATTAAATTTTTGGTAAGGCAGGTTCAGCGTTTATGGACTCTCAATAAAAATAAGTTAAAAAAATGCCATTTGGTGGTCAAAAATGTTTATTGGACATATGTATATCAAGTTATCAGATATTTTATACAGATTTTAATAATATGTACACATTTTGTGTAAATTTTTTTGGGTTTCGTACCAAGATTTTTGATTACGGTACGGGAAGTTCCAGAAATTTGCCTTAATGTGTGTATTTTAAAACAATTCATTCTAACAAAAGTAACTCACCGTGTCAGCAAGATTTGGACGCAATAACAATTTAAACAATTGGTGAATGAATCATATATGTACTAACAACAAGTCCAATGAAATATAGATGACTTCATTAACAAATACGAAAAACCAACAACAAACTTTAATTCATACTTTATTGTATTGTATTTATATTTTTTCTTCTATTCAATTTTGATATCGATTGTTGTTGACAGAATCGTACAAAGTTATCTTGAGTTTAAATACAAATAACGAGAGAAAAGTACCAGATAAGGCGACAAACAATAAAATGAAATCAGTTCCAGCTGACATGTGAAGTTATGCTTATTTGTAAATTATATAACAAATTAACAAATTTACAAATTGGTATCGATTTTATGAAAACTGATATTGTGTGAATGAATTATAGTAAGTTCACGGTTTACTGTCCACTTAATTTAATATTAAATAAATCAATGATCAAAATCCAGAAGATATTTTATCTGATAATTATAATTTGCATTATTTGGCACTACAATTGAAAGGCTGATCAGCTTCGTGAAACAAAATAATAAAATAATATTTTATAAAGTTTCTACTAATATTTTTGTTACTCAGCTGAAATCCTTTCATAGCAATAACATTATTCCCAATTTTACTTGATGCTAGAATTTGTTTACCTTATGCTATTAGTTTCAATTTCAAACTTAGATCATACAGCTTAAATCATACCAGATTAAGAGGTTCTTTTTAATAAATACAATTTTCCAAAGTTTTTGCTCAACTTGAATAACACCAAAAGGATGCAACAAATAATAGCCATTATTCATGAACAGTTTCATCTCTATCTTCGGCAACCAGAACGTTAATGATTTTAAGTATATTCTTTACTTTTTGAAAGTAGAAATTTATTGAAAGTGTTTGGTGAAGGTACAATTTCTGGTAAAATATACAAAAGATGGGTCAAAAGTTAGAAACAGGTGATTTCGATCTTTCTGTGTCTGGAGATCATCATTGGTCGACGACGATGTTGTTAAGATAATGTTGGAGCAAGATCATTTTCTGACAACATCGGAGATTGCAGAAAGGATTAATTCAGCTCAACAATCCATGGATTACTTACAACCTCTAATTCAGATTTGTTTTCGTTCTAAAAAACAGGCAAAACATTCAAAAATGGAAAACTCAAACAAACACTGGTTCAATTGTTTGCATCTAAAGATGAATCATTTTTGAAATGGGATAAACAAGTTGCCCTTACGCTGTCAAGAGCTCATTAATAATATTAGCAATTATATCATTTAATAAAGTTAGTTGACATGAGAAAAAAATTGGATTTTGTCTTATTGCAGATGCAGATTTACATGCATTTTACAAATTTGGATATGAACTGGTATTTGAAACTCATTTAATTAGTCATTTATTCTATCGAATATATGAATATCCTGAACTAATTATTAGGAATTTTTCTTAATTATTTCTTGCCTTATAAAATCTTATTTTATTTCATTTATAGAGAAATTCCAAAAGAATTGAGGTACTCATGATCAGAGTCAGAAGTACTAGATGACTAAATATACAATTATGATAAGAAAGTTGATAGATCAAATTCATAACAAAAGAATATAAAAAATCGTAATAATCTATTTTAAGTCTACTAATAAGTGAAAATTCACTTGATCGTTTACATTGTTTTACTTTTTGTACTATCACCACAGTAAAAAACAGCATTTAATGCAGTGCGTTAAGTATACTTGACGTAATTCTTCTAATTATCTTTGTATATTAAGAACAATGGATTTAACGCCTTAGGTAGATAGATAAAAAAATATTAAGAGAAAGGTTTATTGACTAAAAGTTTTAAAGTTTTCATTCTAGTAGTAGGGTAGACTACGTACGGTTGTACCAGGGTACGGTAGTGACAGCCAACATAACAGCTAAACTATACTGATTTTGAGATAGGGTCCAAAGAGAGAAAGATGAAGTATGCTTGTTCGAACAAGTTTTCATTATTGCTTTCAGTCAGCGTCCTACGTTAACATGATGTGAAAACCACCTTGCTTTTAAAGAGTCGAAAGAAATGAATTTTTCGTTCGGTTTTTTTAAATTATAACTGTTACTTCTATACAGATAGATTACTTTGCTATTTTGCTATAAGTTGAGCATTATTAATTAATTACCAGCAATTAGTTTTTGCGTAGATAATTTTTTTTTTGTCAAAATGTTGTGTGGGGTACGGTTGTGACAAATTTTGTGGGTACAGTTGTGACAGGTATTTCTTATTCTTCTCGAATAAAGATTAAACAGATAAAACTATAACTTAACTAAGACAAAATACAAAAAAAAAAAGAAAAAAAAATCAATGCCAGAAAAAAAAAATTCACAAAGATTTCTTATTAACATTGTGTAAAAAATTAGTTTTGTTATACATTGTTATAATATATTAAGTTACATAAGCTTTGTTTAAATAATTACGTTGTGTGTTTTTTTACATATTTCTGACAATAAATTCGTTATAAACGATTTAGCTATTGTTCTTTTAACCTATGTTTATGCCTGTCACAATCGTCCTGGAGGTAAATTAAGAAAATTATTGCAGATCAAAATAAAAGTAGCACAATCGTACGCAATCTCCTTTACAATAATCGATAAAAATAAAGCTCAGCTTAAATGTTTAAAAAAATGATCAAAGCAATAACAATGTCGATGTTGATCATTTTAATAGATGGTCATTTGATAAACTGACCTGACCAACGCAAGAGCAATTCACAACAAATATTAGAATTATTATATTCCATCTTAATCTTAAATTCATATTGCTTAATATATTTTAAATTATTATAGGATTCAAAAGGTTTAAAACCAAAGGAGCGAAATGTAGAGCCAACAGTTCTAATACTATAAATATGTTTGCATCGGTAATTAAAGCATTGCAATTAATTCTAACAGCAATTTTATAAGTATCATGGCAATTCACGATTGAAATAATGATTTTATATATTTAATTACAACTATAGAGAACTATTATAGTTGTTTTTCCAATTATATTTCATCAATAATTGTATATGGATTTCCACACCGCACGAATTTCAGCACGAGTGGGCCTAGGGTAATATACACTAAATTAAGCAACTACTGTTTCACTACAAATAAACAGTGCGATTGTAAAAATGTAATTACTCAAAATGTTATATATATATATATATATATATATATATATATTAAATTTTACCATTTTTCCAGACAGTAAAATATCAGAAAAATATATCATAATTCTGATACTGATATAAAAAATAAAAATTGTTATGCTTTTCAAAACATTAATCCCATAATTGTTCGTTATCTCTACAACTTTAAATTATCCGATTAACATAAATTGTACAAAAGCAAATAATCTACTACATTTTTACCATCAAATATCTGTGTATCGATTCTATCTTCTTGTAAGTCGTAGTATAAAATGATAAATATTTTATATAGTCGTTATCAAAAAGGGTCTTGGATCAGCAACTGCCAATAAAATTTCGATAAGTGGAGTATAAAGTGTATGAATTTTTATTTATTTTGAAGCAGATTGCTGGAACTTCGAGTACCGTTTTGTAAGATTTTGTAAAGCTTTAAAATTGATGAATGAAAATTAAAACTAGTGGTGAATGGCATCGTGCCTTAAAACAATTTGCTGGAACTTCCCGTACCGTAATGAGATATTCGAGGAATTTTAAATATTTTCAAATGGATTATTATAAATTCTGTAACTTAAAATATATGTTTACAGAAAACAAAACTTAACCAATCGACTTTAAAATAAGGATGTTGTCTAAGATTTATGAGAATGATATAAACTGAATTGCAAACATAAAATTAATTATTTGAAGTATATTAGTGAGCTTTAGAGATTAAGCTAAAAGAATAAAATTCGATGCTCAGTACTCTCAAAAACTCGATTTCTATTTTCCGCACTCTTTGCTTCGTATTTCCGAAACAGCTGGACCGACTTTTGCCAAAAACCTATCAGCACATCTCCCTATCAATAGGAATCGAATGTTTTTTAAACCATTCAAATCGGTTGATCCGTGCGCCCGAGAACGTGGACGAAAAATTGTATACATACATACATACATACATACACACACATATCATTTTTTTCTGAAGTATGCCAAAATGTTCAGAAACCTTTAAAACGATAAAATGTAAAAATTTTCAATTTCGATATTTAGACGATTACAATAACTTGCTCTACGGGAAGTTAAAAATGCATATAAAAACGACTAGATTAACTGTTAAATTAAAATACATATCTTCTATATATCAAAATCTTTACAAACGCTAATATTTCTTTGCATTCAAATTACGAGTAAACAAATACGCCGGTAACCAGAACTGTTCTGTCGGATAATCAGATCAAGCCGTATAGACCGGAAGTGGGATAATAAACGGATATCCGTTACATCTCTAACGAACATAAATTTCAAATATATTTCAGTAAAATCATTCAAAATCACTGAATGCCGATAGATAAACAGAGTTATTTTGACGGTATAATTTTAGTACAAACTTGCTAGGTCAGCATCATCAATTGAATTTGTAAAGAGTAGAAAATAGCTCATAATGGTTTATAATTTCGTTCGAATCGTTGCATCATCGCGAAGATAATGTGCAAGTCATTTCATTAGCTTATGTGACGCATTTCTAACAACAGTGAATATTTTCAATAAACACATTAAATATTTCCGTGAAGTCGCTATTACGCATAAACACTCACCTTAGAGATAGGTCAGTGCTGAGTCAGGGTCAGCTAGCTGCTACACGTGCCCGCAATTGACAGATGTCATTTACGCAATCAGGCTAATGTAGCGAATGTAGCACAAACAAATCGTACACAGAGTATCATTAAACTTGAGACACAATCGATTTCACACATCACTAACCGAATTAACAGGGGAAAAACAAAAAAAAATTAAACCATAGACACCGAACTAAGCGTTGTATACACTATTTTCCAGATAACTCTAAAGCCGTTTGTTGATAAACGTCAGTCGGTCGGTTACGATCGTAGAGCGAGCGAACCAAACGCTGTTACGACGAGCAGAGGACTCATTAACGTGACCGACGTCGAAATAAATTGCTTAGCTAAATAAGAACTGATGTTGCACTACTATCTAACAGCCATACAGTCGTACAGTGTCGTGGCAATGTTGAACAGTTGTTTTGACTGTGAAGCACGTGTTAAATTACGGACGAAAAGCAAATACACGAATGCACGACGACGACAAAGCAAACCGAGCGGCTCTCGAAATCACGACTAACCGCACGCCAGGCAGCGCATCGGCATCGGACTATTCTATCGCATACTATGGACGGAATTCCCCGCCGATTCTCGATCCGACGTCAACGCGTAATAGATTGCACACATTCACAATCACAAACACAATCACACACTCTCGCGCTAATCGAATACTCGACCAGACGACACACGATGGCGTAACCTACATCGCTACATCCAACCACAATAAGAACCAACTGGTCGGATTGGTTCGGATCGGATCGACAAAATCACAACTAGTGGTGCATGGCATCGTGCCTCGAGGCAAATTGCTGGAAGTTTGCGTATTGAAAATTAAGATTTTTCAAAACTTTGATTTTTGAGAATTTTGAAGTTTTTGAAAAAGTTGGACTTTTTCAAAAAATTGGATTTTTTACATTTTTTTTCAAAGCAATCGCGCTGCATAGCCGTTTTAGACGAAATATAATAAAACTAGTGGTTCATGGCATCGTGCCTTAAGGTAAATTGCTGGAACTTCCCGTACCATAATTAAATCTTGGTAAGGAACCCAAAAAAATTACACAAAATGTGTACACATTATTAAAATCTATAAAATCTATAAAATATCTGATAATTTGATGTACATATGTTCAATAAACATTTTTGGTCGCAAAATGACATTTTTTTGACTTATTTTTATTGAGAGTCCATGACCGCTGGACCTGCCTTCCGAAAAATTTAATCAGTTTTTCAACTTGTCAATACAAGTAAAATTGAATTATTAAAATCGGACGCTCCGTTCTCCTAAAAACCGAGTTACCATTTTTGGCACTTTTTGCCTTCGCCAAAAACTAATCAGCACGTCTCCTTATCAATACGAATCAGAATTATTCAGATCGGTTGATCGGTGTTCCCGAAATCGTCGACAAAAATTTGTATCCGCGCACACACACACACACGTACAGTCATACACACATACACACATACATCAATTTCTTCTAAGGTAAAATGTTCAAAAACCTTTAAAACGTAAAGATATATAAAAAATTTTCATTTTCCATTTATTTGCGATTACTATAACTTACTCTACGAGAAGTTAATAATATAACCCATAGAAATGCAAATAAAATTGCAGTTATTATTAAAATCTTTATAAAATATCTGATAATTTGAGTCGGATATGACAAAGGATCATTTTTGAAAAACTAATCAGCACGTCTCCTTATCAATAGAAATCGAATGTTTTTTTTAATTATTCGAATCAATTAATCCGTGTTCCCGAAATCGTCGACGGAAATTTGTATTCGAGTAATTTTAATAATAAATATAAATTTTATTTACATTTCTATGAGTTCCGTACCTATGTTTATCCGTAAGACTTTATATTTCTTCTCTAAAACAGTCACGCAGCACGATTGCTTTTAAGAAGTTTTAAAAAAAAATTCAAAATATAAAATAAAACTTCAAAATTTATAAAGAAGATTTTCAAAAAATTTCAAAATATAAAATAAAACTTCAAAATTTATAAAGATTTTCAAAAAATTTCAAAATATGAATTACTTCAAAATTTATAAAAAAGTCATTTTTTTCAAAGATATCGAAAATCTCATTTTTTGTTTTTAAATTAAGTTTTTTTTAAATTTTTATATTCGGTACGGGAAGGTCCAGCAATTTGACAAGGCACGATGTCATGCACCACTAGGTTTTTACATTTTTTTACTTGATCTTCGAAACCGCTAGACCTGCTTTCCCAAAAAATTATTCTGTTCTTCATTTTGTCAATATAAGTAATATGTTTTTTGAATTATTTAAATCAAACACTCCATTGTCTCAAAAACTAAAACACCATTTTAGGCACACTTTGCCCCGTCTCTTTGAATCGGCTGATCAGCCTTGTCCAAAAAATAATCAGCTCATCTCCCGATCAATAGAAATCGAATATTTTTTTAATCATTCAAATCGGTCGATCCATGTTCTGGAAATCGTCGACGAAAAATTGCATCCACACACACATACATAAATTTTTCCTAAGGTATGCCAATATTGAAACGGAAAGATATGCAAAAATTTTCATTTACGATTTTTTGCGATTACTAGAACTTACCCAAGGGGAAGTTAAAAAATTCATTTCACATTCGAATTATAATTATCGACTATTTTATAATATTCGCCTTTACTACGCACAGTGAAATCGTATGCGGTGCTTGGCATTGTACCTAAAGGTAATATCAACTACCTGGGCTTCTCGCTTCATAAACAAATATTGATAAACTAAACGACTTTTGAAATCCATCCATCATTTTAGACACGGATCTTCAAACCGGAACGAACAAGGTTAGACGAAAATCCGGATATAGCTACTATAACGGCATATTTTTGAATATTATTATTATATGGCTATATAATCAGAGTTGATAATCTTTCCGAAATCATTTCATTGGCTAATATTTTAAAATCCTTGTATAATATTAGTACAAAACTCTAGATTTATATATAAAATTAGTAGTGCATTGCATCGTGCCTTAAAGCAAATTGCTGAAACTTCTCGTGCGTAATTTTAATTTTGAAACTCCTTCAAGTCGAAGAAATCAGATTATTATTATAACCTCTATAAAATATCGGACAATTAGATATGCAGCTGTCTAATGACCATTTTTACCACCAAATGGTATATTTTTTAACTTTTTTTCTGGATCTCCAAAACCGCTGGACCTGCCTTCCAAAAAATTCAATCAATTCTTCATTCTGTCAATACAAGTGAAATGTTTATTGAATAATTGAAATAGGACGCTCCGTTCTCTTAAAAACTGAATCACCAATTTTGGCACTTTTTGTGCCGTATCTTCGAAACGGCTAGACCTGCCTTTGCCAAAATCGAATCAGCACGCCTCCCCATTAATAGGAATCGGATGTTTTTTTAATCATTCAAATCGGTTGATCCGTGCTCTGGTATCCGCACACACACACAAACGCTCGCACATACATCCAATTTTTGTAAGGTTTGCCCAAATCTTCAAAAGGCTTTGTAATGTAAAGATATGCAAAAAAATTCATTTTCAATTTTTATTTTCGAAAGAATAAAAATGTCTTTAAGTGAATAATCTAAAATATTATCTAATATAAAAAACACCATATTTGTCATGGTAAATATTATGGGAAAGAATGACAAACATATGTCTTTCAAAGTGAAAAAATACCCGCATCTATAGAGTAGCATAATGATGAAATGGTAAAATTAAAATACAAAGACTTCAATCAAAAATTTTTGTGACTTGTTCAATGACGTTAGTCTCTTTACACATAATCACAATAAATGTTTGTCAATTAGAAACATTTAACATTTGTAAACCCGTTTCTGATTTATTGACTGGACCTATGTTTAAATAATTCCGACAATGAGATTCTATTGTAATATAATGTTAACGACCAAGAGTTATCTTTTTTTGAACAGCAATCAGAATGTGTCATTCTACAAGCTACTGTGATAATTATTGTTTGTAATAATTATTTTATGATTTTGGTTATTAGAAGACCACTCTATTCTAATTTTTTTTCTAATTTTAATTTAGGTAGAGCAAGTGAAGTTAAGTTGAAGGTCCGCGGGTAAAAAGATCCACCACCATTATCTCAAGAACCATCAAAGTTAGAAAATTTATAACAACAATATTTCAAAGTAAAGGGCAAAATTTGTGTAGTTAAATCAATTTAACCCGTTATCAGGAGTTAAATGACCATGTTCGAAACTCTAAAACAAAAGTAATTTCTTGTGTTAGTTTTTGTTAGATGTTGTTAGTTTTTGTGTTGGTTATGAGCACTGTTGTTTAGTTTACGAGAACTTAATATATTTTTAAGTATACGTTATTTAAATGTTTCATAAGATTTATTGTTATTTTTAAGTTCATGATTTTTATGTTTTATATAACCTTTATAAAAGCTTACTTACATGTGGTTAGGAGGGTAAAAGGGACCCTGGCGAAGGTGTGAATAATACAAAAATAGTAATTAAAAAAGTAAATTAAGTTAAAAAATAAATTTCACAAGAGATAAATTAAATTAATAGTTATTCCAACTCAGCTAATGAATATTTCTGACGAAAACCAGATTAAGGTTCTCTGCAGTGTTAGCTCTGTAAAAATGCTCATAATTTGCATTGGTTGAATAATGTAGCAATTATTTCTCAAATTCCCTTCAAAATTAAAAGTAAGAAATTGGATCTGTTTGCACCCTGACATTCCAATTTTACCCTGCCATTGTCCAAAAAAAGACCAGGTTACAAATTTTTGAAAAACAGCAAAAAAAACATAGTTCTAGAATGATGAATTAGCTGGGAATTTTACTGAATATAGTTAAATAATTGTTTGTTTCATATGTGTTATTTGTTTTGAGGAAATTGGTTTGGTTTTCACAGTATAATTGCCAAAAGTCAAATTGGACCTTTGTGCTCCGCTCTACTCTATGATATTTTAACTTATTCCAGTATTGATTTGATAATCACTAGAAAACATAATTATGATTCATATAATATTTATTATATAATATAATTATTTATTTATAAATAATTATCACTATTGCTTCTCAACATTTGCATAAAACGCGGGAATTGAACTCAAAACTTTGTGCTTACAAGGTCAAAGTTTTACCACTTGCACCACAACTCGAGGATTTTTTTACAGATTACTTATAATTTGGAACATTTGAAAAGTTTGGAACAGTACAGTAAGATTCATTATAATGCTTTATGAGTGAAATTACAAGTTTGAAAAAATCTCACTCATCATTGAAAGTGCTGTAATCGAAGTTTAAACAGTTATATTAAACTTATTTTAATAAACATAACTAGAACTGAAAATATCATTAATTTGAATCATAGAACTCTTGAAATACTTCGAACCATTTTTCTTTAGAATAAATATCAGATAAACTGGTTAACTTAACATACAAGAGTATATTTTCAAGTTAAGTACCAAGCAATCGATTTATCTTGATAACACTTTATGCGAACAATGAATATGACAAGAAAAACAAGATCAACATTATTAAACTATAATTTATTTTAATTATTGA